GAGATACCAGATTTGATGTTTTCATTGGTTGTCACCTATAAATATCAAAATTAAACGTAATAAACATCGGAAATACATTGGTCTGTGTGCATTGCATGAATATAATGTACAAGTTTCACGTTTTGAATGGAATTACTGAAATATTTTCAACCTTTTGATGATATTCTAATTTACTGGCCAGCACCTGTAGACTAAAACTAATACTAACGTGAGTTTTGTCATCTAGACTAAGACTAATACTAAGACTAACGTGCGTTTTGTCATCTAGACTAAAACTAAGACTAACGTGAGTTTTGTCATCTAGACTATGACTAATACTAAGTTTAACATGAGTTTTGTCATCTAGACTAAAACTAATACTAACGTGAGTTTTGTCATCTAGACTAAGACTAATACTAAGACTAACGTGCGTTTTGTCATCTAGACTAAAACTAATACTAACGTGAGTTTTGTCATCTAGACTAAGACTAATACTAAGACTAACGTGCGTTTTGTCATCTAGACTAAAACTAAGACTAACGTGAGTTTTGTCATCTAGACTATGACTAATACTAAGACTAACGTGAGTTTTGTCATCTAGACTATGACTAATACTAAGACTAACATGTGTTTTGTCATCTAGACTATGACTAAAACTAAGACTAACGTGCATTTTGTCATATAGACTAAAACTAAGACTAACATGAGTTTTGTCATCTAGACTATGACTAATACTAAGACTAACATGCGTTTTATCATATAGACTAAGAATAAAACTAAGACTAACGTGCGTTTTGTCATCTAGACTAAAACTAATACTAACGTGAGTTTTGTCATCTAGACTAAGACTAATACTAAGACTAACGTGCGTTTTGTCATCTAGACTAAAACTAAGACTAACGTGAGTTTTGTCATCTAGACTATGACTAATACTAAGACTAACATGAGTTTTGTCATCTAGACTATGACTAATACTAAGACTAACGTGAGTTTTGTCATCTAGACTATGACTAATACTAAGACTAACATGCGTTTTTTCATCTAGACTAAGACTAAAACTAAGACTAATGTGCATTTTGTCATATAGACTAAAACTAAGACTAACATGAGTTTTGTCATCTAGACTATGACTAATACTAAGACTAACATGCGTTTTGTCATCTAGACTATGACTAAAACTAAGACTAATGTGCATTTTGTCATCTAGACTAAAACTAAGACAAACATGAGTTTTGTCATCTAGACTATGACTAATACTAAGACTAACATGCGTTTTGTCATCTAGACTAAGACTAAAACTAAGACTAACATGTGTTTTGTCATCTAGACTATGACTAAAACTAAGACTAACGTGCATTTTGTCATATAGACTTAAACTAAGACTAACATGAGTTTTGTCATCTAGACTATGACTAATACTAAGACTAACATGCGTTTTGTCATCTAGACTAAGACTAAAACTAAGACTAATGTGCATTTTGTCATCTAGACTAAAACTAAGACAAACATGAGTTTTGTCATCTAGACTATGACTAATACTAAGACTAACGTGCGTTTTGTCAGCTAGACTAAGACTAAAACTAAGACTAACATGCGTTTCTTCATCTAGACTAAGACTAAAACTAAGACTAACGTGAGTTTTGTCATCTAGACTATGACTAATACTAAGACTAACATGCGTTTTGTCATCAAGATTAAGACTAAAACTAAGACTAACATGCGTTTTGTCATCTAGACTAAAAGTAAGACTATCGTGCGTTTTGTCGTCTAGACTAAGACTAAAACTAACACTAATGTGCGTTTTGTCATCTAGACTATGACTAAAAGTAAGACTAACATAGGTTTTGTCGTCTAGACTATGACTAATACAAAGACTAACATGAGTTTTGTCATCTAGACTATGACTAAAACTAAGACTAACGTGCGTTTTGTCATCCAGACTAAAACTAACACTAACGTGCATTTTGTCATTTAGACTAATACTAAAACTAAGACTAACGTGCGTTTTGTCATCTAAAACTAAGACTAACGTGCATTTTGTCGTCTAGACTAAGACTAAAACTAACACTAATGTGCGTTTTGTCGTCTAGACTAAGACTAAATCTAAGACTAACGTGCGTTTTGTCGTCTAGACTAAGACTAAAACTAAGACTAACGTGCGTTTTGTCATCTAGACTAAGACTAAAACTAAGACTAATGTGCGTTTTGTCATCAAGACTAAGACTAAAACTAAGACTAACGTGCATTTTGTCATCTAGACCAAGACTAAAACTAAGACTAACATGCATTTTGTCGTCTAGACTAAGACTAAAACTAAGACTAACGTGCGTTTTGTCGTCTAGACTAAGACTAAAACTAAGACTAACGTCCGTTTTGTCGTCTAGACTATGACTAAAACTAAGACTAACGTGCGTTTTGTCGTCTAGACTAAGACTAAAACTAAGACTAATGTGCGTTTTGTCGTCTAGACTAACACTAAAACTAAGACTAATGTGCGTTTTGTCATCTAGACTAAGACTAAAACTAAGACTAATGTGCATTTTATCGTCTAGACCAAGACTAAAACTAAGACTAACATGTGTTTTGTCTTCTAGACTATGACTAAAACTAAGACTAATGTGCGTTTTGTCATCTAGACTAAGACTAAAACTAAGACTAACGTGTGTTTTGTCGTCTAGACTAAAACTAACACTAACGTGCGTTTTGTCATCTAGACTAAGACTGAAACTAAGACTAATGTGAGTTTTGTCGTCTAGACTAACACTAAAACTAAGACTAATGTGCGTTTTGTCATCTAGACTAAGACTAAAACTAAGACTAATGTGCATTTTATCGTCTAGACCAAGACTAAAACTAAGACTAACATGTGTTTTGTCTTCTAGACTATGACTAAAACTAAGACTAATGTGCGTTTTGTCATCTAGACTAAGACTAAAACTAAGACTAACGTGTGTTTTGTCGTCTAGACTAAAACTAACACTAACGTGCGTTTTGTCATCTAGACTAAGACTGAAACTAAGACTAATGTGAGTTTTGTCGTCTAGACTAAGACTAAAACTAAGACTAACGTGCGTTTTGTCGTCTACACTAAGACTAAAACTAAGACTAACGAGCGTTTTGTCGTCAAGACTAAGACTAAAACTAAGACTAACGTGCGTTTTGTCGTCAAGACTAAGACCAAAACTAAGACTAACGTGCGTTTTGTCATCTAGACTAAGACTAAAACTAAGACTAACGTGCGTTTTGTCGTCTAGACTAAGACTAAAACTAAGACTAACGTGCGTTTTGTCGTCAAGACTAAGACTAAAACTAAGACTAACGTGCGTTTTGTCGTCAAGACTAAGACTAAAACTAAGACTAACGTGCGTTTTGTCGTCTAGACTAAGACTAAAACTAAGACTAACGTGCGTTTTGTCGTCTAGACTAAGACTAAAACTAAGACTAACGTGCGTTTTGTCGTCTAGACTAAGACTAAAACTAAGACTAACGTGCGTTTTGTCGTCAAGACTAAGACTAAAACTAAGATGCCCTCCAAAAACAAAACTTTCTACCACTGAAGCCGGGCGTACACTGTGCGACTTTTTCACTTTTTTGAGCCGATTTTCCAGTCGTGCGAGAATCCACGACATCGGGGCGAGTTTTGCGCCGAGCGGTCGTGTAGTGTACAGGGGGTTACGAGAGGTGATTAACACCACGTGACCAGCTGCTGATCAGCAGTCATGAGGTCGCATGGACTTCTGGGGTGTTTAATATTTCGCTCGTCCCTCATGAGGGTATCGTACTGTTGAAGCGGCGCTGCGAGCAGCTGCGACCCAAAAAGTATCAGAACCGCTCCTGGCGCATGCGCAATCCTGCATCAACGCTGCTCGCTCGCTATTTCTCTAATAACACACGTTCGTTTTTATTTCTACACGTTTTTTTACTCACAAAGATTGTCAAGAAAGCGTGTTTGTCGTGTTCATGTCAAATTAAACTGATCACAAAACACAGATTTACTTTCTTTATTTCGTTTTCCTCATCCAACCCCCATAAATCCCTGTGTGTCCTCCTGCAGCACTCCTGAAGGACAACAGGCAAAACAAGACAAAAAAGTCTGACGTGTTGAGTAAAAACTGCTATTTTTAGCATATTTTTAGGACCGACGTGTTGCTACCAGACGTACAGTGTGAGCAGTCAGGTCGCATGCGAGAACTGGGTCGTGCAGTGTGAGCGCATGACTCGTGAGATCTGCTCTGCGAGGAAGTTGTACAGTTTGAGCTGAAGCTGAGTGCTACGAGTGAAAAAATCGCACAGTGTACGCCCGGCTTGACTCTGCTTTGCCACACTGATGTTTTATCTCCACAAATAACTCAAGCCTGGAGGAGTTCTGCAGTGTTGTGGACTTGCTAATGCTAAGAGTTAGCTTCTACTAGCTGAGACTTCCCTACTGTTTGCTGGATGGTGGAACCAACAACCCCATCACAAGTCAAGATGGGTGAGTCCATGAATGTTAAATGACAGTGTGACTAGGGATGGGTACCGAATTCTGCAGTTTTCAAGGCACAGACCGAATTTCGTGGTACCTACTGAGGACTGATTTATGTGATCTGAAACAGTGCCTTGTTTCGTTTTTGTCCTTCATTAAGGGAAACTTGTGAGAGAGCAATTTGCCAAGACAGACAGCAGCGCATGCACAAGAGTGTAATGCGGTCGGGCCCTGCGGGCGAGCTGTAGACAGAGCAAGCAGCATGGCAAAGAGAAGGTCTCTAAACTTTGAGTCCACTTCACTAAATGCGATGGGTGACTGGGTGAAGATGATAAATCGATATCAGTGAGGCATAATCATCTTGATCTGCTCCAGCAGGTAAATAAACTGTTAATGTTAGCCTGATTAGGGCTGCAACAAACAAAACGTAGCGGGAAAACAGGTAAACAGAACTGCTCTGCGTTTTAAAACAGAACTACAGCACGGAATCTGAGGTTCAATCGTCCGGTCTGAGTCTAGTCAATATATAAACAAGTGCTGCTTGATAAATACTTACGTGGGCCTTCTTGCCATAGTAGGGGAAATACATCTTATCTATTTTGCCCTCTCTGGGGAAATAGTGCATTTGGACCGGGTTGTCCTTCTGCATAGAAGAACACAAGTTGGTGTAAATGTCACATCCAGTTAATCCAGGAATTAAAAAGTAAACGGAGACAAGATGAGACGAGACTTAAAGCAAAAGCAGCCACCTTCTGTTGGTCAGAGAGGAGATCTAGATGAAATGTGAAACAGGATGTGCTCTGGAAAACTCAGATGGATGCATTTAATACTAATACTGATAATAATTGCAATGGCACTGATTAGGCTAAGAATGAGCTGCTGAATGTCTCTGGGACGGGTGTGGAGCCCCGCTAATGACCATAACAGAAAGGTGTTAGCGGTGCTACGGCCTTATCCGGATCATTTACACGTTTACCTTACCCTAAAGACATCAGTGACAGCATGCAGAAAGACATGAGACACAAACAAGCAAAAATAAGGGAAGATGAACTCAAGATCAACCGAAAGTAAACTGTGTTGGTTATTTATGTCTTGATGGAAGAAATGAAACGACGTAAATACAAAGACAGGAAGGGAGAGGGGAGTTGGAACTTTAGCCGTACTTTGATGGTGCAGTTGATGTAGGGATCCCCGTCAGGCATCAGGCCGATGATCTGTGAGAGCAGAGGAACACGTAAGCCTCGACAAAGCCCGCGGTGCAGGCCCACACCCATTCCAGCTCCAGCCCACTGATTATACCACATAACATCACACATCTGCTCTACTCCATCCTGTGTTCTGCCTCCTTGTGGATGATGTCGGTACTGAAGAAGTTAGATTTAATTACACTATGAGTAGTAACATGATTTCCATATTGGTACATTTGTATTGATCACATTAGTTTACGAATAGATCAATCATGTAACGTTCTATCAGGCTTAGAGGGACTCCGTGGCCTGGCATCGGCCCTGAGACTGAGGGGTTGTGGGTTCAAATACACGGTTGGGTCATACCTAAGACATCAGAAATGGGACCCTCAGCATTAAGGGGATGGATTGGGGGGGGTTAAACCCCCAAATGGTTCCTGTGTCTGCAGCTCACCGCTCCCCCAGCGGACGGGTCAAATGCAGAGAACACGTTCCAACAGTGTGTGATGATTAATGCCACGGCTGTGGATCGAGAAGCTTTACCCTGTTGAGTTTCAGCAGCACACAGGGTTTTCCCTCGGGGTATCCAAACTTGTTGTCGGTGAGGCCGGAGCAGAATCTCAGGCTCGTCCTTTTGAAGGGACAGACTTTGTCCATTTTTTCCTGATCCTCATCTTTCTTAGTGTAGACTCCGGGAGTGCATTCGGAGTTCATCTCCTGCACGTTGTCGTTATATTCTGACAGAGAGAGGACACGGACAGGACTTATTCAGCTACATGGCGTGGTGGGTACAGCATCTGGGGTGACGAGTGTTCGGGGGAGCACTTACTCTCCAGAAAGTTCTCCAGCTCTTTGGTGTACACCTCGTACTTTTGGGGCTCGGATCTGTTGAATGTGATGTCCAGGGTACTTGGGCGAATCACCAGTCCTGCAACAAAGACATCAAGTTGTGAACTTAGGGGTGGAAACCAGTTTGTTCTGGAATGAAATGATCCGGACAGCTGTTGTCTCAGCCGATATCACTCCCATCCAAACAGATCGATGCAGAAGCAGTAATGTAAAACATTTTTGTGACAGCGTCTAGGGTATGAATAATGGATGCTAATAGGAGAAGTGGTGTGTGTTAAGAGGCACGAACCTGGAGTGGGGATGCGGTCCCTGTACCTGGGCACGTAGTCGTCCAGCGTGAGCAGCAACACCCACATGGTCAGGGCGAACATCCCAGCCAGGAAACAGTAGAATACCAAGTAGAAGAGCAGGATGAGGGCTGCACCAAGTCAGAGGACAGACATGCTCAACACCGGCCCACGTTCCCACTCCCAACACCTGCACCCCCACTCCCAACACCTGCACCCCCCAAGCTGACAGGAACCTTTTTAACAGACAACAGGACTTTTCACAGGTTTTTAAAATCAGTCTGGATCCCGAGACATCTGCTGCCTCCTCCATCCGGCGCAGGGAGCACACGTCAGACTCAAAATGGTTAACCAACATCCCGCCTGTGCAGCACAGATGCCCTCTAAAAGGTGACTTCTAGAAAAAAAAGCACACATGCACTCCCTCCATTTTTTCATTCCTCCTCAGAGGTATCCCACAATGCACCTGCCTGGTGAGTGAAAGAAGGAGAAAGAAGAGAGGGAATCCCATTTGACCTTGACAAACATGCTAATGTGGGCGGCCATGGAACTGCATTGGAGCATCCCACTGCACAGTGGCACGGGGGCCCAGGCAGCCTGACGGGCTGCGAGAAAGGGAGGGAGGGTGGTGCATTGCCACCACATACCGGGAACCATCATTCCACAGAATCCATATAAGCTAGTTCTGGACTGGGATCAGCAGCAGATCTGCCGTGTTGGTGCACTTATGGATGAAAGCCCTCCTGGCCTCAGCTGCAGGAGGAGAGCGGGGCACACCTTTAGGTAGCATCACTCCTGCTGCTGAGGTCTCTTCTCCCTTCCACCTTCACGGAGGCCTGAGCTAATCTGTCTTCTGAACTCATTCATGCTCAGAGGTCTGAGCGGGCTGGTGCTGTGGGAAGGGAGGTGGAGGACATCGATGGTGTGAAAGTCAAAGAGGGGCTCCTTACCCCAGCTGCTGGCCGTTCGCCCCAGCACCTCTCCGGTCCTCGGGTTGTAGAAGGAGTCCTTCCAGCTGGACGCGTTCTCCTTGCTGGCAGCTTTATCCTCGGTGCTCGCCATGCTGCGGCCGGTGTTCGGTCCCTCAAACACAAAAGAAAAAAGAAAAAAAGAAAAAAAGAAAGAGCCGGTTCCCTTAGATGACAGAGGAGGTGGGAATGCAGGAAAGGCTTAGCGGTCCGATGCGATGAAGCGACGGCGAGCCGGCGGTGAGTGGGCGGCGGAGGGAGAGCGGGAGGAGAGAGATGCTCTGCTGGAGCCAGAGGGGGGAGAAAAGAGACGGGAAGGGGAGGAAAGAGAAGAGAAGAAAAAACGTGTGACGTACGCACAGCCCCGTGGTGGCGGCTGATGCAGTGTGCGCAGATGGATGAGCATTGGTTAACGGAGAGACGCGCGCACACGCGCACAATTCACCAACGTGAGAGGCAAGCGCGTCCACGTGCTCATCATCTCCTTTATTCCGATGGTTGCAGCGTTTCCGGTGAAGAGGGACCGGAATGTCCGCCTTAAGCCCCCCAACCGCAGACAGGCGGTGACTCACGAAGCGGGTCCGGGCTGCTGCAGGTCAGGAGGACACTCCCGCAGTGATGGACAACGTCCCCGGTAACACCTGAGTCCCATTTATTTATCATCTCAGGGGACATGTCTCTCCTGAAGACACTTTCTTACAAAATACCACAATCATGAGTTAAATACAACTTCATCACAATTAATACATCTTATTTTGATGCATGAGATATGCAGCAAAAACTAAATGACTGACTCTTACTGCCGGGCCTGTGAGATTTACTATTTCAGGTAAATTCAGTTTATTTTTATAGCACCAAATCACGGCAGGGCCTTCACACAGTAAACAAGCCGATCTGTGAAAGTTTCCGTTGTAAGGAACCCAGCAGGTTGCATCAAGTCACTGACTAGTGTCAGTGACTATACAGCAATCCTCATACTAAGCAAGCATGCAGCGACAGTGGAAAGGAAAACTCCCTTTTAACAGGAAGAAACCTCCAGAGAATCCTGGCTCAGTATAAGCAGCCATCCTCCACGACTCACTGGGGATCGAGAAGACAGAGTGCGCACACACACACACACACACACACACACACACACACACACAACATATTTATTGATATGCATCTAAATTCACAGGTTACGATTTGATTTAAAAAGAAAACCCTTTATTACAGACCGACTGGATTCAAATACACAATAAGAATGAAACTATTTGATTTACAGTTAGTATTTTTGTAGATATTTTATTAAATAAAGATGCTAATTCTGTTCAAGTGACAATATTCTCTTTTCAAATATGTAAAAGACCACATATCCCAAAAGCACTGTGGCTTTATGGCACTTGCAAAAGAAAGAAAAACTGCATAAATAAACCACACATTAGAGTATTTATTTTTATACATGAACCTACAAAACGTGGCTGAATCTGTGGATTGAAACTCCATAGGTAAACATAGCACATCCTGAGTGTTTTGAACACTAGAGGTAGGTACCGTAAATCCTCTAATACAGGCCCGGGCCTTTATTTACTCAAGCAGATCCTGGTTCCGACCTTTATTGGAAGGAGGCCATTATTAGAGACTTTTTTTTAAAAAAATCCAAACTTCTGGTACAATTGTTTGATTTTGTTAAGATATTAATGCCACGTTACAACACTGAGCTAACTGCTAAAAACATTAGCGCTCTAAAAGCTATTTGTGGTGAGGCCACGTGAAAACAGTATCAAACTGTTTATCTGCTGTTTTTGTAGCTGCTTTTCTAAACAACTGTTCAACAAAACACCACAAAAAACCTTTATTAAGCCCTTACCTGTGATGAAGTGATCACTGCACACGTTAGCATTTTCCATTCCGTTTCTGCTCATCTTGCAGCCGGAGATTATGATCCACTCTTCCGTCTTCGTTCAGTAAGTTTCAGTAAGTCCTTTGTGGTGCACAACTTTCAGACATGAAAAAAAAAAAACTTTTGATTTTGTTCTGATTGCACGGAATTTGGGCATGTTTACAACCAGTCAACAAAGTAAATAAGGTTCTGTGCTGCAACGGCTACCTCCTGACCCAGCTCTGCAGTTGGTGACGTGGAGGCAACTTGACCCCTCCCACCCACGCTCCCCGTGGACTTACCAGTAATATTGATGACTGCCAAGAAAAAAAGTTTCTAATAATAGCCCGGACCACTATTAGAGACCGGCATTTATTCACCCCCGCTGACAGTGAGATCGGGCAATGTAGGAGACCCAGCCGGTAATGGAATACAGGCCAATATTAGAGGATTTACTGTAATAATGTAGACAAGTTACACACCTATAAAAAATAGATTTTAAGATCCTCCTTCTCACATATAAAGCTCTTAATAATCCATCTCCATCATACATCAGTGATCTGATTGTTCCATACGTTCCTAACCGAGCACTTCGCTCTCAGACTGCAGGTTTACTGGTGGTTCCCAGAATATCTAAAATTAGGATGGGAGGCAGATCTTTTAGTTATCAGGCTCCTCTCCTGTGGAACCAGCTCCCAGCTTTAGTCCGTGAGGCAGACACCTTGCCTACTGTAAAGGATGGGTAGTTTAAATCTTACTTATGAACCAAAAAATGTGAGATTCCATAGAAATATGAAATATCAATCTGATGGATCTTTGACTATTTTAACCAGAAGATCAGAACTTTTTATTGCAGGGATTAAGCGGCACTTCGTATTAACTCCAAGGAAAGAGAGAGTCAGGTTTAAAATAGTTAAGAAATTTATTTCTACACAATTTAAACAAGACTGACTTAAACACTCTGTGTACTGATGGACTAAGGAGGAGTGAGACGTGATGAATGATGGTGTGTGTGTGTGTGTGGAATGTTATTATCAGAACCAGTGGATCCGGAGAAGCATTTAGTTCTGAGTGGGAGTGAATATTTCGCTCTAAACTTTAGTAGGAGATTTATAACACACATGAGACACCATCTGTCGGTCTACGTACCCCAGGGGAAGCCTCCGTTTAGATCCAGAATGTCGAGGTCCTCTTGGACCCTCCGTGGAACCGAAGCCGGTAGAAAAGCAGCGGTGCCGACCAAACTAGTCTTGGAATGCTTCCAGGTCACGACAGTTATCACTGGCGTCTCCGAGACCCTGAAGGGGTCGTGAGGTTCAGCTTTTATTCTGAAGGAACCGTTGCGGTCAGGTGTAACTTGCAACAGATTTTATCCAGCTTGTCGAGGTTCTTTATGGCTGAAGAGAAAGTCTGGATGACCTGTCCGAGGTCAAGGTCACATTTATTTCTAAAGCACACTTATTATTGCTTCCGCAACCCAAAGTGCTGTACAACACAGAAGATAAAATCGCAAACAAGTATAACTAAAAACCATAAAACCATAAAAATCAGCAAGTTAGGATAAAAACAACATTACATCACACAATTATAAAATCAATAAAAATGAGAAATAATGACGATGACAAAATAAAATCATCCTACATGAAAGCCAGGTTGAATAAATGAGTTTTAAGCAAGGACTTAAAGACATCCAGACTTTGTGAGGTCCTGATCTGCAGAGGAAGACTGTTCCAGCGTGTGGGACCGGCCACAGAAAAGCCCCATCTCCTCTCGTCTTTAGGCGAGCCTTTGGAACTGACAATAAAAACTGTGAGCCCGACCGCAAATTCCTGGCAGGAGTGTAGGGTGACAATAAATCATCTATATAAGGAGGGGCCAGACCATAAAGTGATTTATAAACAAAAAGCAACAATTTAAACTGAATCCTGTAATGCACTGGCAGCCAGTGAAGGGAAGCAAGCACTGGAGAGATGTGAGCATGCTTCCTTGTAGCTGTTAAAAGGCGGGCTGCTGCATTTGGAACCAGTTGCAAGTGGTTTAAGGAGAATGCCCTAATCCATAGTACAGGGAATTGCAGTAATCTAGTAGACAGGAGAAAAAGTGATGAATAACATGTTGAAAGACAGTTTCTGGCACATAGCACTTAACCGTTGCAAGTTGCCTCAAGTGATAAAAACCGGACTGGACTACTGCACTTATCTGTCTGTCCAATTTAAACGAACCATCCATAAAAAAAACAGGTTTTTCACATAAGGCTTTACAAAATCCGAGACTTCTCTAGAACGTTTGAACTAAAGAAAAGGTGGAGTGGGATAGTTTTTAAATTGTCATATTTTGGTTTACTGGCGAATCAGAACTTGACATGCAAAAGAGGGTTTATACAAACACCACAGAAAACCAGGCCTAGCCAGAAACGAAGGTTCTGATTGGATCAGACAAAAGGAAATGTGTCGTGTGACTTTAGCATTACGTGTCATCAGTGTCTAGTGCAAATGTCCAGGATTATAATAACTTGTAAAATACTACTGATCACAGGATTATAATATCAAGTAATAACATTATTTCACAGATTGATTGAACATTGGGCTCACATTATTATTGGTAATAACAGAGTTGTTGATTATGTATTTATCAGAATAGTTCTTTGTTTTCGCTGTAAAATGAGCAGAGTGCATGAAAGACCTTGGCCACTACAGGTGCTGGCCAGTAAATTAGAATATCATCAAAAGGTTGAAAATATTTCAGTAATTCCATTCAAAACGTGAAACTTGTACATTATATTCATGCAATGCACACAGACCAATGTATTCCCGATGTTTATTACGTTTAATTTTGATATTTATAGGTGACAACCAATGAAAACATCAAATCTGGTATCTCAGAAAATTAGAATATTCTAAAGGCCAATGAAAAAATGTTTGTTTCTCTAATGTTGGCCAACTGAAAAGAATGAACATGAAAAGAATGTGCATGTATAGCACTCAATACTTAGTCGGGGCTCCTTTTGCCTCAATAACTGCAGTAATGCGGCGTGGCATGGACTCGATCAGTCTGTGGCACTGCTCAGGTGTTATGAGAGCCCAGGTTGCTCTGAGAGTCGTCTTCAGCTCCTCTGCATTGTTGGGTCTAGCGTATTGCATCCTCCGCTTCACAATACCCCATAGATTTTCTATGGGGTTAAGGTCAGGCGAGTTTGCTGGCCAATCAAGGACAGGGATACCATGGTCCTTGAACCAGGTGCTGGTGGTTTTGGCACTGTGTGCAGGTGCCAAGTCCTGTTGAAAGGTGAAGTCTGCATCCCCATAAAGTTGGTCAGCAGCAGGAAGCATGAAGTGCTCTAAAACTTCCTGGTAGACGGCTGCATTGACCCTGGACCTCAGGAAACAGAGTGGGCCAACACCGGCAGATGACATGGCACCCCACACCATCACTGACGGTGGAAACTTTACACTGGACCTCATGCAACGTGGATTCTGTGCTTCTCCGCTCTTCCTCCAGACTCTGGGTCCTTGATTTCCAAAGGAAATGCAGAACTTGCTTTCATCAGAAAACATAACTTTGGACCACTCAGCATCAGTCCAGTCCTTTTTGTCCTTGGCCCAGGCGAGACGCTTCTTGCGCTGTTTCTTGTTCAAGAGTGGCTTGACACACGGAATGCGACACCTGAATCCCATGTCTTTCATGAGTCTCCTCGTGGTGGTTCTTGAAGCGCTGACTCCAGCTGCAGTCCACTCTTTGTGGATCTCCTCCAGATTTTTGAATGGGTTTGTCGTCACAATTCTCTGCAGGGTGCGGTTATCCCTAGAGCTTGTACACTTTTTTCTACCACATTTTTTGCGTCCCTTCGCCTGTCTGTTAATGTGCTTGGACACAGAGCTCTGCGAACAGCCAGCTTCTTTAGCAATCACCTTTTGTGTCTTGCCCTCCTTGTGCAAGGTGTCAATGATTGTCTTTTGGACAGCTGTTTAGTCAGAAGTCTTCCCCATGATTGTGGTGCCTTCAAAACATGACTGAGGGACCTTTTAAAGGCCTTTGCAGGTGTTTTGAGTAAATCAGCTGATTAGAGTGGCAGCAGGTGTCTTCTATATTCAGCCTTTTCAGAATATTCTAATTTTTTGAGATACCAACTTTGGAGTTTTCATTAGTTGTCACTTATGAATATCAAATTTAAATGTAATGAACATTGGAAATACATTGGTCTGTGTGCATTGCATGAATATAATGTACAAGTTTCACGTTTTGAATGGAATTACTGAAATATTTTCAACCTTTTGATGATATTCTAATTTACTGGCCAGCACCTGTATCTCATGTAGATTAGCCTGTCAGAGACTTTGTCTCTGCTCGAGCAGACGCAAAAACAGGACATTCATGATGCTACACTACTTTGAAGACTAGGCTTAAAACCTTTTTATTTGATAGGGCCTATGGTTAAAATCTGATGTTAGCAGACCTGCCAACCTTGTAAATTTTTTGAGTATCACTTTGTGCCGCATTTTTACACACACACACACACACACACACACACACACACACACACACACACACACACACACACACACACACACACACACACACACACTCTTACCAGAACAGAGCGAGTGGCAAACCGGAGGCAGAGAGAAGCAGCGGGCAGGACGAACCAGGGGGCGGGGATGTTACGCTATAGGATAGGCAGGATAGTTTTTCCTCTGCTTTTCTACGATGATTGGCTTAAACTTCTTCACCACGCCGCTGAGTCGTGTTGTCAGACATGAGTACCACACGTGCATATTTGCCACAGAACTCAACTCACGTATCCACAGCTTTTTGCGTAGTTTAGTGGGGTGAATCATACCAGCGTAAATAGACGCCAATTTGCGTACTGGCTACGCAAAATGCGTACATGTTGGCAGGGCTGTGTTAGCCTCGATCTGGACAAGTGGGGGAGTAGAGGGAGGTGGAGTGTATAGTCGGTAAAGACGGCTCTCCCTTGCCCTGCCTCCATCCAAAAGGCTAGGTTATCCAGAGCTTTCGCTGTAGTTATGCTGCTATGGGCTTAAGGTTGGTTTATGCTTGACGCATCCGCGAGGTCCGCAAGGCTCCGCGCAGAAAAGTTGCGTCATTTTAACAACCACGCCCCTCCACCGCACCTCCGCACGGCCCAGAATTTCCG